GCAGGAGAGAGCGAGAACGCGAGAGTGAAGGAGAGAGCGGTGACGCGAGAGTGAAGGAGAGAGCGGTGACGCGAGAGTGCAGGAGAGAGCGGTGACGCGAGAGTGCAGGAGAGAGCGGTGACGCGAGAGTGCAGGAGAGAGCGGTGACGCGAGAGGGAGGGGACAGTAGAAAGAGAGGTGACGCTAGAAAGGGAGGGATCCTCCTCTGCTACCATAGACAGACATGGGATAATCATTGAATCCATAGTGATTTGTTTCCTTCAGGTGGAGGGCGGGATGACGGAAGAAGAAGCGAAGATGAACATGACGCCGCCTGATCGGCCCGGGATCACATTTGACATCGGTGCTCGCTTAGAAGCGCAGGACTACTTGCAGAAATGGTATGTGCCGGTCATGTGACACTTTCCTGTTGCTGAGTGGAAGAGGAGGGGAGGAGTTAGAATTGTAGGTGACACTGAAGGAGCGCGTAGATAAGTAGGATGAGAACCATGAGAGAGCAGAGTCTTGTAGGCCAAGCGAGTGGATTTTGTTTTGAGGAGCAGCGGGTGGTCAACAGTGTCAAAAGCAGCAGAGAGGTAGTAATAGCAATTATTTATAATAATAAATATAATAATGATCTGCTCCATTAGATGGACAGTGGGGTCTGGAGTATGTCATGTGATACGCATTGTACAGTATTGTAGCAGGTTTAGCTCCTTTCCCTGGTGCTTGCTGCATATTTTGTAACACAACAACTAACCCCACATACCTGTGTCACAGCCCCGCAATATGTAATGAGCATAAAGCTTGCAAATGGTGAGCGCCCCTTGATCAGCACGGTCACATGACCACACTGACCAAGGAGAAGCGTTTCTTCAGTGACCTGGTTGTGGCTCAGATGCACCTTTCATTGGTCATGTGACCGTGCTGACCAATGAGCGGTTGCTATTAGCGAGGTTTATCCTCATTACATACTGCAGAGCTGTGAAGTATGATGTAGAGACCGTACACTGGCTGGCACGGGATTACACAGGTGTGTGCAGCGGGGACCGGGGGAGGTGGCGCCGTGCTCTTGGTAAGTTAATTTTCTCACATTTTGTAAAAAAGAAATGGAATTTTCCCCTTGAGTGCGGACCAGCATTTCTCCTGCATACCCTGAGAGCCCCCACACCCAGTCAGTATATTAACGTTCACTGGAGCTGCTTTTGGGATCTGTGACACACTTACACATGGATGTACCAATCCCACAATGCAAGACGAATACCTTAGAGAGGTGTGAGCATTGCATCATGGGATGGGGAGCCAGAGCTCTGACTAGGATCATATGTTAAAGGAGAACTATGTGGTCAGTGCTTTTCCCTATAGTTCTCCCCAGGGTCACGGGAGGACCCAAACTAGCATCCTCCCGTGACCCAAAGCCCAGCATACTGCGAGCTAAAGCTTGCTGTATACTGAGACCGCCGCAGCCAGGACGGATCCCGACATTAATGTCTGGATCTACCCAGGTGCGTGATTGACAGCTGGCTCTGCCTATCTAGAGGCAGAGCCGGCTGTACCCGCGCCCCCCCCCATCCGTTTCGCCAATCAGCGCTGGAGGACCGGAGGGGATAATTCCTACAGGGAGCTGTGAGTGACAGTCATGGCTCTGTGGAGGGAGAGGATCAGAAAGTGAGGGAGCGACAGTATGTGTTCACGCACTTCCCGATCTATTGAGCCGACGTGTGACAGTTTCATTGTCATACGTCGGCTTGAACTATGAGGCTCAGTGATTTGCACTCGCCTCATAGTTCTCCTTTAAAATTGATATTATGTTGAGTTTGGGGTATGGGAGACACTTTGCTTCTTTCTATAGAGAGTGGTAAAATGTTATCATTGGGGACCTGTGTTACTGTAATGTGCTTTTAGTAGCTAATATAGTGACAGGTTCCCTTTGTTCTGCAGCTCTGATATTTATCTCTTCACTTTTACTGTCATGGTGGAAATCTGTATTGCGTTTCATTTTCTGGCTGATTCTACTGAAGTCATCCTCCTGAGTTATAGAATGTGTGATATTTATATGTCCTCTGACCAAAATGTATTTGTAATTTTAAGGGCCCGTTCACAATATACCCTTAAATGTGCCATTTCTGGAAGTACACCACAACGCACATCTGTCGGCAGGGTGCGTTGGGGCACCATTTAGAATGTATGGTACCTCATTGCACCAACATGTGGTATACTGTATGTGTTGCGGTGAAGAGCGCGGTAATGCACGCGTTCTCATATTGTGAATGGACCCTAAAGGAAAACATTACCTTCATCTATATATACTTCCGGAAAAATAGAACCATTTAAAACCGTAATCGTAAACATTTCTTTAAGCTGAACTCCAAGCAAAGAACATTAAAGTGACACTAAACTCAGGAGCTAAATCTTCCTCTTAAAGGAGAACTATGAGGTGAGTGCTTTTCACTCATCCTCATAGTTCTAGCCGACCTGTGACAATGAGACTGTCACAGGTCGGCTCAGTAGATCGGGAAGTGAGCGAACACATACCGGCGTTCGCTCACTTCTCGATCTTTCACTGCAGAGAGCCCGTGACAGGGGAGGGACTGGATTCCCCCCTCCCCGCTCCGATCCTCCAGCGATGACTGTCGGATCGGACCGGGGAGGGGGCGGATACAGCTGGCTCTGCCTCTAGATAGGCAGAGCCGGCTGTCACTCACGCTGCTGGGCGGATCCAGAGATAATTGTCGGGATCCGTTTCAGCTGCGGCGTCTCAGTTGCGCCGTCTCAGTATACCGCGAGCTGCAGCTCGCGGTATACTGAGCTTTGGGTAACGGGAGGGCGCTAGTTTGTGTCCTTCCTTTACCCTTCGGAGAACTATGGGGAAAAGCCCTAATCCCGTAGTTCTCCTTTTAATCTTATCACATTCAGGTACCTTTTTATTATTAACAAAAAATGTCTCTTATTTGTGTATCACTCGGCTGTAGATCCTCAAATCATCTCTGAATTGGTGCTGACACTGTCCTTCCTTCTGGAAGGGGGCTACTTTTGTTCCCCATGGTCCCTGTGTGTGTTGCAAAGTAGCTACCGCTCCAAGCTCACTCCCGTAATGGACTACAATCTCATGTTTAGCTTCCTAATTTGTACTGAGATTGTAATCCATCACAGTAGTTAGCTTGGAGCGGTGACTACTTTACACCACACACAGGGACCATGGGGAACATAAGTAGCCACCCTCCAGAAGGAAGGACAGTGTCAGCACCAATTCAGAGATGATTTGAGGATCTACAGCCGAGTGATACACAAATAAGATACATTTTTGTTAATAGTTAAGTAGGGCTGCAACAACTAATCGATTATGAGAATCACTGTTAATGATTCTCATTATCGATTAGTTGATCTTCGATTCGTTGCTGCCGTCGCTCTGCTCCCCCTTTCTCCTACTCGATGGGAGCTGCTGCATGATGCAGTCTGTGTCCCCTTTGTTCAGAGGGGATACAGAGCCGTGCATCTGGCGCCCAGCAGGGAGTAGACACCTTTGTACCTCCCGCTGCTGCCTGCGATCCTCCGCTGCTGCCTGCGATCCTCCGCTGCTGCCTGCGATCCTCCTCTGCTGCCTGCGATCCTCCTCTGCTGCCTGCGATCCTCCTCTGCTCCTCCCATGCCCCTCCTTCTGTCTGTGGTAGAAAGCCGGCATCAAGTCTCCCATCCAACGGCCGGGAGCAATTGCCAGCCTGCTATAGGCTATTTTAAAATGGCAATAGCCAATAGCAGGCTGGCTATTTCACCTGTCTGCTGTCAATCAGCAGAGGAGGACCTGAAGGAAAACTTTCTCCTTCAATTCCCTCCAATTCAGTGCAAACAGCGGGGGATTCGTTCTGTGCTCTCCTCCTATCAACATGCTCTTTGTACTACTTGTGCTGCTTCTCCCTCTTCCAGTCTGGGCTGTGCAGTGCAAGAGACTAATACCAGGTCACATTCAGGTACTAGCCCTGCTTTCATTTAAAAACTAAACATATTAATGTATACAGAGATATATTCATTTGCCTCTTTCATAGTTGGCTAGCATGGGCAAGAGTCCGTTAGCATCCATTTTTCAACAGATGCCAATGGAAGGCAACCTGAAAAATGAAAATGGGTGTGGATGGGACCAGTACACATCGCTCCGTTCCATTGTCTTGCAGCGCGCTGAAGAAAACCATGTAATCAGATGTAACGGAAAAAGATACATTAGAGGAAACTTATCAAAACTGGAGCAGACAAAATCTGGAGCCGTTGTGAATGGCAACCAACCAGCTTCTCTTTTTCATTTTCAAATATTACTTGAGCAAACTGAAGAGAGAAGCTGATTGGTTGCCCTGGGGAACTGCTCCAGATTTTGTCTGCTCCAGTTTTGATAAATTCCCTCCATAATGTTTTTCTTCTCATGACATTTTTATTATTATTATACAGGATTTATATAGCGCCAACAGTTTGCGCAGCGCATTACAATATACAATCACAATAGAATTCAAGACAAGATGGGAAGGAGGGCCCTGCCCCTGAGGGCTTACAATCTAAAAGGGAGGGGGAAGTGATACATGAGGAGGTAGAAAAAAAGTGGATTTGATTGGCTATAGGGAATAGCGCATCAAAAAGGCGGTTACTGAATAAATCGGGACCGACCCAAAGTATAGATAAGTTAAAAAAGAATGTATTATATAAATGTAAAAGGTGTATGGACACAACCACCCATACACTAACAAAGACAATTCAAAACAATACAAACATTCCGTCTCTACAGGATTTAGACCATGTAGGTAGGTGGGATGGCTAGCATGGATAATAAATTGGACATGGATGACCTGACATATACCAGCGGTAGAAATGAATGTGCACAATGTGTAAATATCGATCTGGGAGATGATCCCTGTAAGGGGTTAAGTAGCAGGGTAAAGGTGCCCATACACTGTACGATTTATCGTACGAGAATCGCGGGAAATGGCGCGATCGTACGATAATCGCAAAATAATGTACGGTCACACGTCTTCCGTCGAACAAGCAGGCTGGTGGCCTGCTTGTTCGACAACTGCCCAACGGGCCGGCGTGCGCACAAGCACACTGCCCGTTTGCAGTCATCGGAAGCTTGCCCCTCATTGCAGTCATCGGAAGCCCGCCCCTCATCGCAAGTACGATCTGCCTGTCCAAGATGGGCAGATCGTACGTTTTTTTAATTACTTTTCAACCCTCGCAAGACAAAAGTTGCGAGGGTTGTAAAGTGTATGGCCACCTTAAAGTAGAACTATGGGGTTAAGGCTTTTCCCCATAGTTCTCCTTAGGGTAACGGGAGGACACAAACTAGCGTCCTCCTGTCACCCTAAGCTCAGTATACTGCGAGCTGCTGCTCGCGTTATACTGAGACGCTGAAGCGGATCCC